TTTACGTTATGGATGTGAATAGGACTTCTTCTGTGTTAAAAACCACAGCTCTCACCTGACATCAAGGGATCCAGCCTACAAGTGCAGGAGGAAAGAAACACCAGAGTGTGTCTCCTCAGAACCTTCTTCCCTTTGGGGATAAGAGCAGCAGCAAAGCTCACAAAAGACCACAGAACCTGAAGCTGCCTTCTGCTGCTGAGTTGGCAGTACCTTATATCACATGCAAAATTGCAACGTTCTACACGGGCCATGGTGCTGAGAAGCCAAAACTGTGCTCCTGCTGCCCTTTGATTTGCAAAAAATGCCAGACTGGACGCTCTGACAGGAAAAGCTGTCATCGTTTTTTGGGTTTCGCTCCCAAGGAAATAATGGTTTAGGCTGTCCCAGGCTTCTTCCCGCACACGAAGAGTTAACCAAGGCCACCCACTCAATCCCCAGTTTCCTTCAGGGGGACAGAAGTTGCTCCTCCCTCCCCCAACACCTCTACTGAGGCTATGTACTAATCTCCTAAATCCAAAAGGGGTCAGAGACTACAGTTTGGAGAGCGTAGTTCTCCCGCAAAACTGCATGAAGAAAGGATTGAACAAGGCAGAACTGGAGCCTGGAGATCTGGGCTTAAGTCCTGCCTTTTGAACTGGCCACTTCCTAAGCCTCTCTCATCCTCAGTGCCTTCTTCTGTAGAAATGCCTGCATTGCTTTCTAACACAGCGATTGCAAGGATCAAGCCATAATGTCTATCAATTATTTTGTGCCTAATATGTGCCTGTGTGTGGAAAGCACATTATTTCTAATATCTCTCTTAATCTTCACAGCATCCCTAGAAGGGAAGGTGATCTAATTGTTTCCTTTTTTCAAATGAGAAAACAGGCACAAGGTCATCTGCCCCACGCACAATTCAAACCCACGTAGCCTTACACATCTTAACCGAAATCTATTTTAACTAAGAGGCACTATTCATACAACCATCTCTGAGTCCTGGTGGGAAAGTGAAGTTCAGGAACGGAAGGTACCAGATGCCTGGCTCCCAGCCCATAGCTCTTCCCATCACCCATGGCGCCACTGCCCCATGGATGTGACTCTCTAGGTAACAGCGCTAAGTTTGGCATCAGAGCAATTCATCCCGTTATCTCTCTCGCGGCAAAAGCACCAGGTGTCTCTGCTGGCGGTCATGCTTCTGCACCTGTGTACAGGAAGGGCACCGGACCTGCCCTTAGAATGTGCAAGGCAGCACGCACGACCTGAGCCGGGCGCTGGGTGAGCGGGAGCTAACTAACTGTCCCCGCGGAGCCGCTGGTGCTGTCACTGCGCTTCCAAAGTCCCTCTCTGCCCATGATTGGATGGACCGCGCCTAGCTCAGACACCTTGGGTGCTCAGACACCTTGGGTGCCCAGACAGCGCTCCACTAGCCCCAGCTGCCCAGGGACTCCCATTCACCCCCCCGCACGGCCCGTGAAAGCCGCGGGAGGACCGCCAGTGCGCACTGAGCGGCGAGGACTCCCTTTTATGTCCAGGAATGAAGCGCGCACCGCAGCCGCACCCGCCGCCAAAACCGACTTCCCCAGGGCGCTTACCTGTCGCGGCGCGGGATCGGGTGGCAGCGGCGAGAAGCGCAGAGACCCAAAGCAGCCACGGCAAGCGCCAGCCCTGCACGTTCCTCCTGCAAGAAGTGGCCGAGGGAGAGAAGGTGAGGCGGGCGAGAGAGACCGAGGGGGCCGGGGCGCGGGGACGCGGGTCCTACCTTGGCGCCATCTCGCGGGTCTGTGGAGCCCCGAAGGCGCGGAGCGGCTGAGCTCCACCGAGGCGAAGGGGCGCTGCGCTGCGCTGCTCGCCCTTCCTGCAGGGAACAAAGGCGGCGCTGGGCAGCGGCCTCGGCGGGTAGGCTCCCGGCTTTCGGCCCGCGCCCTGAGTCACCCGCGCTCTGAAACCCGACTCCGCCGCGCCCTGCGCCCCCCCGCGCGCTGCGCCGCGCCCCACCTCGGGCAGCGGCGGCGCACTCCCCCCACCTCCGGGATTTCCCCACGCCCCTTTTCCCCTCGACGGATGCGCGCTCCCTGGCCATCCGAGCGGCCTTATGTAACCTTCTAGAGAAGTCGGGCGTCCGCGCTAGTCTGGGAAAGCGAACGTGGCTCCCTCCCGCCCTCACGTCTGTCCCTGTCCGGGCTGCCCCGTGGACAAAAGCGCTTTCCATTCCCAGGCCAATGGAATCCTCTCAAAGGCCCAGGGAGGCTGGAATCATTGTGATTTCCCTAAACAACGGAGGAAACTGAGGCTCAGAGAGGTGGCGCCAATATCCCAAGGTCACACAGCTGGACTGGGCTCCTGCCTGCTGTGCCCTGCCAACCATGTTTGACCCAGGAACCCACTTGGATGCCCCAAGGTGGCCTCATTTGGGCGGTATAAGTTGTACATATAACTAAATGCAGCTGAGATTATCCTGATAAAAATTGTAAATGTATCTAATATTCCAGAGGTTTCTTCTCTATATCTTGCCTGCACCCCCGACCCCCCACTCCAAGTGTAACCTCCAGGAGGGCAAGGATGTATATTTGTTTTGTTTTCTGCCTTAAATCGTGCCTGGTAGTAGGAGATGCCAATACATTGGCTGAATCAAGGGACACAGTCTTAAATAAGACATCACTCCAGGCACTGTGATGAGATGTGGGAGAAGTGAACCAGTCTCAGCCTCCCAAAGCCCTCTGTGGTGTGTGGCCGAGAAAGAGAGGGCACAGAGCAGACTGTCCCACTTGTAGGGACAAAGCTTAGCACAAGGCCTGGCACTGGCAAAACCCTCAAATGATGGCCTTTTATTACTATGATTACCGCCAGGCACAGTAGTGTAAGATCTTTGAGGGAGAGTAGGCACCACTGAGGTCAGCTGAGATCTGGATGGCTCTGAATCAGCCCAGCCTCAGGGACCTTTCTTCCTGATGCACTAAGTAGCCAGCTGGTTTTCACTGGGTACCCCTTCGGAGAGGGAGAGTCACCACCTGCCAAGTGAAGGTAATTTGAGTTAGCTTCGCAGAGGAGATGGGATGGGCATGAAGAGGATAGCTAATGGTTTTTCAGTGCTGATTATGTCCCGGGCCCTGTGCTAGATGCTTTGCATATGTTATCTCAATCCCCACAACAGCCCTGGAAAAGTGGTACTGCAATGATGCTCATTTCGTAGATGAGGAAGCTAAGGTTTAAAATGTGCCCCGGCTAGTGCATGACAGGTGTCAACATCCATGCTCTTCACCACTCAGTTATACTACCTGTCCATGAACAAGAGGATTAGATTCTCTCTCTACCCGCAAGAACAAAATTGCACTGGAGACACAGGACACTCAGGCATGAAAGGGTTAATGTCAGCCCAGGCAGTAAGGGCTGGAAAAGAGCTCTAGCTCGGGGGTCAGGAGCCTGGGTTCCAGTCTAGTTCTGGCCTTGGCTGCAGAATGAAGTTGGGCAAATCCTGCCTTTGTCTATTTTTTTTATTTCTTCATAATGGACATAATGATCCTGACATGGCTGGTGGCTGTGAGTCTCTATGAGATAATTTACATGCCACAACTCTCTGTCATCTGTAAAGTGCTGTGCCCATGTACGGGGTCGGGTCTGGGATTAATGCAAGAAATCTTCCAGAAAAGGAAGAAAGCAGCATGGCCTGGAGAAGGCAAGAGAGGTTCAAGATGGGAGTAGAGTTAACCCAGGCTCTGGGGTCTGCTGAGGATTGTGGGCAGGGGTGGGGGGTGGGGGTGGTGGAATGTAGGGGTAGAGGAAGGCAATACTCATAGGGACACTTACCCAAGTAATAAATGGATAAGAAGTCCTTGGGCTAGAGGGGAGACCAGCGGGCAGGGTGGTGCCAGAGTGCTAAGACCTTGAAAGGCAGGCTAATCGATGGGTGTGCACGTGGCTGTGAAGGCCATGTGAAATCATTGGTGTTCCCAGAGCATTTTAGAATCCCAGAGCATTTACTATAGACAGGGTCCTGAGAACCGGATCCAATCATCTCCCTTCTGTCTCCATTTTATTATTGGAGAAATGGAGGTCCAGAGAGAACATGCAGTTTACCAAGTCACCGACCTGGTGAGTGACAGATTGACAAGTCCCAGAGCCAAGAAGGGAGATGCATAAGAGGAGGGAATGGGCAAGGTCTTCAGATGTTGCAGAGTTCACATAGAGTCAGAAAATCCTCAAGGCGATCAATTCCTGGTCAGCAGAGAGACAGACTCCTTAACAAACAAGAGATCTTTGACGAGGTAGGAGTTATGAGCTTGGGTTCTGGGTGTCACGCTGCCTTGGTGAATCCTGGCTCTGTTACTTATGAGCTATATGAAATGTGAGCAAATCCGTAAAATAAGGATGACAATGGTTCCTTCCTTCTAGGCTGTCGGGAGGATGCAAGGTGTTGCTGAGATATAAAACACTTATCAGAGTGTCTGGCGCAAGACAGAGCTCACTGGTTATTAGCTTCTGTTATTGGTGGTGGTGATATCTGGCCAGGGGTATGACTGGTAAGAGAGAGACAAGACTCCAGCCCCAGTCCTCAAAGGGTTGATGTACCAGCAGCGAAAGCAGCTCTAGAGCTGGATGGCCTCACGTGGAACTAATACACAGGCAAAATACATTCTGAGAAAACCGATCGATTTAGGCATCTTTCTTAATCTCTTCATATTCTCTGTAACTATGAATTCTCTCCCACTTGCAGCCATTCTGTGCTGGACATACCTTATTTTATTATGAATTACTAACCATAGGGAATTTGCCTTCTGAGTTCTATATTTCTCTATTGCTTATAAAGTACTAGATCAACTGGGAATATAACTGACTTTCTTAGAACGATATTTCTATATTGCTTAGAAAAAGCCACATCAACTACACTTACATAATAGTTCTATGATTGTGTAAGACAGTTAAAACTAGAGGTTGTAAATTGGTGGCCATGAGCTCAGTTTGGCCTACAGATATGTTTTGTTCAGCTTCCTGGTAACAAGCTCCAAATTATATTCATTAGCAATATTTGATAATGTGGTGACTTTACATTAAAATCCCGATTTCTGGCTTCTTTTTAAATTTTTGGAAAGCCTGGCAACATGGGACCTGCATTCCCTGTGCCAACGATTGATTGGTGTTGAAAAGGGGCTGCTGTCTTCAGTTAAGGCAATGGTCTCCAGTCTGCTACCGTCCCTACTACTCACTATGGCTAAGAATCATTTGCCATTTCTGATCACACATGCATTCTGCCTTTTCTCATAAAAAAGGGAAAAGTGGAATAGATGAGTGCTCAAGTCTCTGTTAAAAATGGGTAAAAAAAAAATGATAGGTAGATAGGTAGATAGGTAGATAGATAGATAGATAGATAGATAGATAGATAGATAGAATATGCTCATACCATGTTTCAAGAAAGATATGAAAGAGCATATTTCTACACGTTTAATATATAAATAAAGCAGATCTACCTTGAAAAAAAATGAAACTAAGATGCTATTATGACACAAACCTGGTTCCCCTCAGTGATGTATGTTACCTGAAGAATGAAAGCATAGCTGCATTTTGATCAGTGAGTTCACCTGTGGTCCATTTTATCAGTCTAAGATACATATGCATAAGATTTCTTTTCTAGTCTGGCGGGGATATCTTATGTGCACATTTCATATTTTGTCGGTTCTCCGTAAGTATCTCATAATATCCAATTCACTGGAATCTAAAGATGAAAGTACCCAAAGCACAATTCTCCCCTACAAATGACTGGAAATAGATGCACGTTAATATTCTTAATTTTATACCTACTTCACTTGGGAAGCAAGGCCATGTTCATAGGCAGTAGGGCTCTTATTTTGGAGTTAGGCATGGAGGTGGGAACTGTGAACTCAGACTGAGGGAGGCCAGGGAGGGTGTCCGACTGAAAGCTGGAGGGGGTCCAAATGCTTCCAGCCACAGGTGTGGGAGGGATGGGGGCAGGACGCCAAGCCAGGCTTTCACCTCCTGCCAGACTGTGTTTTGAGAGTTTAAGCGATTTCCTTCCATTCAATATGAAGCTGTGAAAATAGCCAAGAGTAAGCTTCATGTCATACAAAGCTGGTCTAAATTGTTTACCGCAGCTTCAGTACAATTTGTGAGATCGAGACATGTAGAGACGTGGGGATCTTCTGTCCCGACTCCTCCAAAACTCAGCTAAATTAATGTGCTGTTCCATTATCCTATAATCCACCCAAGTGTCCCAGAAAACTCAGTTTCCAAACGCATCCTTCAGACTGTCTTGAGCAGCTGGAAGGGGCACAAAAATCAGTGAAGAACATCACAAATTTTGGTTCAGGAAGAAGTTACCAAGCATGTAATTCACATCTTTCTGAACCCGTTTCTTCAGTACAGGAGGAGAACACCTCCCGCATGGACCTGAGGTGAGGAAGTTCCCGGGAGGCACCTGAAGCTTGAAGAAGCCTTGTCTGATTTCTAGAGCAGAAAAAGCAAAATATTCTTTACTAGCTGACTAGAAAAGAATTTACTGGAATAACCAAAGAGGAGGGCTGCCTTTTGAGTAATCAAGGGAAAACAATGACAATGTAAACCCACATCTGCCTTCAAGGGAGGACCCCTTTGTTCTGATGAGCGCCTTGATGATTTTGGATATGCAAAGGAGGAAGAGGGCTGAGTGGAGCAGGTTTGTTCCACATAAAAGAGAAGAATGAACTTGAAAATCTGACAATCCTAGAAGGAAGAGGACAAGAAGAAAAGGAGGAAGGACGTGTCGGACACTCTCAGGTGCCACTCTCTCAGTGCCCTGTCCCTATAACCTCTGCCTTTACCATTCACGTGCACTATAGGCGTGATTTTCTAGTCACCAGCTCCTGCTTACCATTACCTGGGCATTCTTCTGACTGTTGGAGCCTGCTCTGCCCAAAGCACAGCAAACCTGCAGTGCTGGAGAGCTAGCACCCA